CCGTTGCCGCAGTGTGTCAGGAGACTTCCTGTGATCTGGGGCAACCTGCCTCTTCAGTTGAGGGAGAGAGGGAAGGTGGGCCCTGCTGCACCCCAAGCTCTTTGGCAGAGATCCTGCTGCCTGCCACTGGGTGCTTCTGTGAAGACGGTGGAAGGCACTGATGAGGGAGTGAGTGAGTGTCTGGGCTGAGCTGAGCTGACCTGGTGAAAATAGCTAGCTGGTCAGTGGCTACAGCACAGCCTGTATGGCTCCAGAGAAAAGACTTGGAGATTCTTAGTTTATTTTGGGGTGTTATCATTAGAATGGTTTCGATCTCCCCTCCCCCCCACAGAGAAACACTAGTACTCAAGTGGTGAAAGTTTTTGTGTTCTTAGATAGGGTCTTACTGTGTAGCCCAAGTAGGACCTAGACATTCAGCATCCCTCCTGCATTAGCTGTCAAGTACTGAAATGATAGGTGTGAGCCTAAAGGAGTTGCTATATAATGTATGTAATGGGAGGTGTCTTACCAAAAGGGAGAGAGGGAGATTGGAACATAAGATGCCCACGTGAAATTTTATTTTATTTTACTGTTTTTGAGATAGTCTCATCGGCTTTTGCTGATCTGGAATTCAATTAACTGTGTAGCCCCGGTTTGCCTCAAGGCTTCTGCTTCTAGGGTGCTGGGATTAAAGACCTGTGCCATCTTGCCCGGGTCGTTGGAGGAGTCTCCAGTAGCCCAGGCTGACCTGTAATTCCCCATCCTTAAGCTTTTGCCTTCCCTGTGCTAGGGTTTCTTTCTTTTTTTTTTCGAGACAGCGTTTCTCTGTGTGTAGTTTTGGAGCCTATCCTGGCACTTGCTCTGGAGACCAGGCTGGCCTTGAAACTCACAGAGATCTGCCTGCCTCTGCCTCTGCCTCCGGAGTGCTAGGATTTCAATGCTTGTATTGTACTACTCCTGGATTACCCAGTGCTTCACTTATGATAGGCAAGCAAAGGCTGGTTGAGCCAATCCCTACCCTAAAGTGCATTCCCTCTACTCCCGCCCTGGACGTATTTATTCTCTGTGTAACAGCACTGGCTGTTTTGAAAAGAGATCAGACTGTCCTGAAACTCAAGAGATCCACTTGCCTCTGCCTCCTAAGTGCTGGGATTAAAGGTGTGCACCACCATTCCTGGTACTGAATTCTTTTAAATAATAAAGTATTATCTGGGAGGGGCACATTTAGACAAGTAATGATATTTAGAGAGCAACTTAACTTTAAAAGAAACTTAATTGGTTTCTTTTATAAGAGAAAGTTTCATATTGTCCTTAATACTAAGTCTTAGTCTTTTGACAGACATCAAGTACAAAAAGTAGTGAAAATTCATGTCAGACCTATATAATTTCTGTTTTCATTGGCATTTGTGTGTATGTTAGTCTTTAGTTGGGATAAAAAAATAATGGTTGTTATGGCATTCTTGTATCTTGTTATACTTTGCTCAAATATATTTTCCCAATACCTTTTCCCCTCTGCTTTTCTGTCTGGGGCAGGGCATATCTCATGAATTGGATGATGAATTATTTTTGTTATGTAATCTCTGCTTGTCAATACAGAAATGTACATCTAAATCTTAACTTTTCCCTTCTAGAGGTGCTTCCAATAAAAGTGTGTTTGGACTCTATGCTGTTTCTTTTTCTTTCTTTTTTGATACAGGATCTCATATAGCCCATACTGGCCTCAAAATTGGCATGCTGATGAGACAAGGTCTTGAACTCCCAGTCCTTTGACTTCTACCTCCCAGGTGTTGGGATTACAGATGTGTGCTATCACCACCCAATCACTGATGCTGTACACAGGTTTAAAAGAGATTAGCCAATGCATGGTGGTTTATGCCTGTAATCACAATTCTTGGGAGGTTCAGGCAGGAGGCAAGAGGATCCTTGAGTTTGAGGATAGCCTAGAATCTAACACTCACTAGCATATAGTTCAATTGAAGTAAGGTGTTGTTCATAGGGCCTTGGGTTTAAACTCTAGTGTGGAATAAACCTGGCATGAAGGCATGTGCCTGTAATCCCTGTACTTGGTAGGGTGAAAACCTCAAGTCCAACCTAGGGGTTGTGTAGCAAATTTGAGGTCTGTCCTATGTGACACTTTTGTCTCAAAAATAAGAAATTTAGCTTTTGGTATTTAAAAAAGTTGTGTTTATTTTATTGTTTCCCAATATTTTAAGACATTTTCTGCTGAGTAGAATGGAAGTTGAATGTGTTTATAAATTCTCAAAAAATTTTAAAATCTTAACCAGGCAGTGGTGGCACATGCCTTTACCCCAGTGCTCAGGAGGCAGAGGCAGGCAGGTGTCTGAGTTTGAGGCCAGCCTGGTCTACAAAGCTACACAGAAACCCTGTCTTGAACCCCCCTCCCCCCCCAAAAAAAAACTTAATAAATTAAGTATGAACATTAAACCAACTTTTTCAGCTAGAGGGATGGCTCAATGGGTAAAAAGCACTTGCTACCAAGCCTGACCAGTGTGATCTCTGAGACTCATGAGAGAACCAACTGCTTGTCTTCTGATCTCTACTGCTCACCCTGGCACACTGTCTCCCCCACAACAAACATAGAATAAATAAATATTAAAAACATTTAAGTTGCTAAACAAAACAACAAACCAAACTTTTCCCTCCTTTTCCTCTTATGCTAAGGGTCAGGCTCAAGACTTTCTTCATGCTATACAAGTTTTTTTTTTTTTTTAACCTTTGAGCTTCTCTAGTAGCCCCATCCTTTGGATTTTATAGACAGAATCTCATTATGTAACCCAGTCTGGCCTGTACTTGAGGGTCCTCCTGTTTCAACTTCCTGAGTGCTGGAATTACAATTGTGTGCCACCATGCCCAGTTTAAGACAAAACAAGGAAAAACCCCACCCCCTTATAAATAAGGAGGCTAGGCCAGTGAGATGATCTAGTTAAGGCACGTGTTGCCAAGCCTTGAAATCAGTTGTTGGACCCATATAGTGGAAGGAGAGAACAAATTCCTGGAAGGTGACATACACATATTGTGTATTTGAAACTCATATAATAAATAAAATGTAATATAAAAATATTTTTGAAAAATGAGGCTGTGAATTAGGTATGTGAGACTGAGGATACTTGTGGGGGGTATGCAAATTATATATTTTTTTTTGTGATAGTTGTATTGAGATACAGTTATATACTATGCAGTTCACCTGTTTGGAGTATGTATAATCCAATGAATTTTGGTATATTCATAGAGTTCTACAATCACTACAACAGTTTGTCTTAGATCCTTTTCATCACCCTAATAAAATTCTTGGACCCATTAGAAGTCACTTTCAGTTTTTACCTGATTCTCAAATACCTAGGTAACCACAACTTTGTCTATTAATTTGCCTTGCTTTGGATATTTCACATTATTTTCTTTAAGTACTGGGGATTAGACTCAGGTCCTTCAATGTTTCTGTGAAAGTGCTCTACCAAAACTGTCACTTTAGTATTGAGTAGCCTGGGCTGGCTTTGGATTTGCTAGGTAGTAGCAGTTGACCTATGTGTCCTGAGTGCTGGCATTACAGGCTTGATCATCCAAGCCTGGCTTTATGTGTTACCTGAGATGAACCTAAGGGCTTCATGCATGCTGTGTATGCTATAGTCTACTAGCTAAGCTGCAGCTCTGGCAACCCACAAAAGTATTTCACTTTAGTATATTTTGTTTTCTATCTGTTGCTTGTCTTAGTCTTTATAGTCAGTGAAATCCTATCTCAAAGCAATAGGAAACACTTAAACTGTAGGGCAAGGAATCAATGAATTTCTGATTTATTCTGTACATAACTTGTGTTAAGTTTATGTAACCACTTTAAAAAATAACCCCAACATGCAACTAAAAAAAAACATTTTGTAGCATTTTGACTTATTTGAAAATAGTTTCTAGCCCGGTAGTGGTGGCACACACCTTTAATCCCAGCATTTGGAAGGCAGAGGCAGATGGATCTCTGTGAGTTTAAGACCTGCCTGGTCTACTGATTGACAGCCTCCAAAACTGCAGAGAAACCCTGTCTCGAAAAACTACACAAAAAAAAGAGAAATAGTTTATGCAGTTCAGAGTGACTTGAAATGTAGGCATTTTGCTTTAGCCTCTAGAGTTTTGTGATTATATTTATGTACTATGATACTAAACAAACACTTTTTGGATTTCAGTGGAAATAACTCAGAAGGTTGAATTTTAAAATTTTATTATGTTTTAATTTTACTTTTTAATTAAATATACATTAAACACTGTGTGAAATTATAAAGCCAGTTGAATAGTGTGGGAGTAGTTGGTATGGTTCATAAAGATTGTTTTTCCTTAATTTTCAAATATAAATTTTTTTTTTTTTTGGTTTTTCGAGACAGGGTTTCTCTGTGTAGCTTTGGAGCCTATCCTGGCACTCGCTCTGGAGACCAGGTGGCCTCGAACTCACAGAGATCCGCCTGCCTCTGCCTCCCGAGTGCTGGGATTAAAGGCATGCGCCACCAATGCCCCGCAAATATTTTGTTTTCAAATTCAAACATTTTTGTTTCCCCCACAGCTTGCTATGGCATTGTTCAAGTACCTACTGGACCATGGTTTTGCAGGAAATGTGAATCCCAGGAGAGAGCAGCCAGAGTGGTAAGGATTGTTTATCAAAAATACTAAACAAACAAACAAACTTGAGTAGTTCAGATTTGGATGCCAAATATTAAATATTGACTTACTTTAAACTGATTTTGTAAAATACGAAAAATTAAGTCTGTGTGTGTGTGTGTGTGTGTGTGTGTGTGTGTGTGTGTGTGAGAGAGAGAGAGAGAGAGAGAGAGAGAGAGAGAGAGAGAGGGTACTTTAAAAACTAGAGATAAAAATTATATTAAGGAGCTGAGGATTAAACTCAAGCCTTCTTACATGTTTACATATGAGGTAAATACTATAACTCTGCACTGGGTCTTCAGCACTCTACCCAGGGTCTCTACTAGAGCCGGGTTGCTTAATAAGTTGTGTGTTGGGGCGGGGAACTTAGTTACTCAGGGCCTTAGTTACTGTCATTTTACTGTATCTGTGGTGTGTAGTTTAATTTTCAGTACTCTTCTGTTTTCAGATCTTAACAGTTTTGACAAGGCAGCAGAGGATTTTTTGTTTTGTTTTGTTTTGTTTTTGTTTTTACTAACTGGGAACTGTTATGTGAGCACTTGACCTCTTGGGAAATGAGGGAAGTTTGACCTGAGATTAGAAAAGAGACATTTCAACTTCTTTTCTTAGGCACATAGCAAAAGTAGAACAGTCTTCCTTGGCTGTTGAATTCTAGTTTGAGACTAACTTGGGCTTCATGAGACCCTGTCTTAAAAGAAAAAGAAAAAAAAAGAAAAAGAGAAAAAATATAAGTATGTGTGTGTATGTATGTATGTGTGTTTGTGTTTAAGACTTGAAATATGGAAAATCTACTTGTTGACTTTTTCTCTATGTAGGATGTTGTTTCCGGCATTCTTTAAGCAAATGGAATTAGCTTTCAATACCATAGATAGTTATCAATAAACACTAATAGTCAAGTGAGGAGGACAAGGCAGGAGTGTTAAATACAGTTAAGAAGAAAAGTACTGGTTGGGATGTGGTGGAGTGTCTCCAATACCAGTTGTTTTTTTGTTTGTTTGCTTTTTTCTGGGACAGGGTTTCACTGTGGCTTTGGAGCCTATCCTGGCAATCCCTCTGTAGACCAGGCTGGCCTCGAACTCACAGATCCGCCTGCCTCTGCCTCCCGAGTGCTGGGATTAAAGGCATGCTCCACCGATGCCCAGCTTAGTTGTTTGTTTTTAATCCGTTTATTTTGTGGGAGTGTTCAAAATGTCAAGGTAAATAAATATGGTAGTTATATTGGGAGCATGTTTTATTTCAGTTTATTTAAATTGGTGGGATGTGGGAAACCATTAAAAAACAGGCATAGTCTCCTAAATTCCTGTAGTAACATTATGGCAGAAGTCCATACTAAGCTTGTATGTATGAAGTAGAAGAGCATTTTTTATTGTAGGGATACAGGGACCAAGAACCTTATGTGGATGGGAACTTGAACTAGTCCTGTTATCTCTTCTGTAGGACCTTCTTCCTTTATCTTTGTGAAAATTGTCTCTGCTGCTTATCAATTAGTAGTTAACTATGTACCAGATACTGTACCAAATGTTTTACACCAGTTACTTCATTTAATTGTCAAATTCCTGAAGTAGTTCTCATTTTATGGATTAGAAAGATGTAGGGAGCCAGGTGTTGGTGGCACACGTCTTTGATCCTAGTACTTGTGAGGCAGAGGCAGGCAGATCTCTGTGAGTTTGAGGGCAGCCTGGTCTGCAGAATGAGTTCCAGGACAGGCTCCAAAGCTACACAGAGAAACCCTGTCTTGAAACCCCCCCCCCAAAAAAAAAAAAAAACTGTAGGAAATACATATGTACAACTGCAATCCAGGCAGACATTAAGCTGTTTTCTACCTTATATTGCCTCCTGTGGAGAAAGATGACTATTTTTCACCTTTCTGTCCCTCCCACTCTTTCTGAGATAGTCTTAAACTTACTATGGAGCCCAGGCTGGCTTGTCTGAAACTATTAATCTCTTGTCTCAACCTCTTGAAAGCTGAGATTGGTGAGGGCTGCCATATCTAGCTTAAGGCTTAAAAAATATAGGTGTGTGCCTGCGTGCATGTGTAGGAGAGTGGTTAGAGAACAGCTGTTGGATATCATTTCTCACCTTTCAACTTCTTTAAGATGTTCCTAGTGGAGCATGGTGGCACATGCCTTTTAATCCCAGCATTCAAGAGGCAGGCAGGGGCTGGAGAGATGGCTCAGAGGTTAAGAGCACTGGCTGCTCTTCCAGAAGCTCTGAGTTCAATTCCCAGCAACCACATGGTGGCTCACAACCATCTATAGTGGGATCTGATACCCTCCTTCTGGCCTGCAGGCATACACGCAGAGCATTCATACATAAAATACAAATAAATAAACCTAAAAAATGTTACTAAAAAAAAAAAAAAAAAGGCAGGCAGGGGGATGGATCTCTGTATGGCCAGCCTGGTCAATACAAGAAATTGTAGGATAGTCAGGACTACATAGAACTTGTCTCAAAAATGTGAAGATAAAAGTTAAAAGAGAGGGAGAGACCACCTCTTTTCACTGAGTAAGCAAGCTAGCCTACCTGTGAGTAGATGTCCCAGCTCTATCTCTTATCTCTAGAGGCTTTCTGGGCTTATAGGTGCTTGCACTGCTAAGTCTGCCTTTTACATGGATTTGGGGCATCTGAACTCAGGTGGTGATCAGGGCTGATGTGTGGTACTGGTGGTAAGTTTGTTTGTTTTTTTTTTTTTTTGAGAGCAAGATTTCTCTCTGTAGCTTTGGAGCCTGTTCTGGCACTTGCTCTATAGATTAGGCTGTCCTCGAACTCACATAGATCCACCTGCCTTTGCCTCCCAAAGGCATGGGGTTAAAGGCTTGCGCCGTCACTGCCTGGCTTAGCAAGTTTTTTTTATACACTGAGTTGTCTGTCCATCCTGTACTTACTATCCTAAGAACCTAAAATCTCACTCTGAAGCTCATGTTCCGTTTTTTTTTTTTTTCTTTCCCGAGACAGGGTTTCTCTGGCTTTGGAGACTGTCCTGGAACTAGCTCTTGTAGACCAGGCTTATCTCGAACTCACAGAGATCCTCCTGCCTCTGCCTCCTGAGTGCTGGGATTAAAGGTGAGCACCACCAATGCCTGGCCCCACTGGGAGCATCTTAAAAGAAGAGTAATATGTGACTCGGTGGAGTCACTATCAATTACTCTAGAATGGTTTACCATCATTAATAACAGGCAGGTAGTGTAGCTCAAAGTATAGAATGTGTGGTTCATAAGACTAAGGGCCTATGCTTAATCCCCAGGAAAAAGCAAAAATTTCCCAGAGTAATAGTAATAGAAGAAAGATAACAAGTGAAAAATAAGTATAGGACTAGTGAGATGGCTGAGTGGGTAAGAGAATTTGCCACTAAGACTGACAACCTAAGTTTGATCCTGGGAACATACATGTGGGAAGGAGAGAACTAATGTCACAAGTTGTGCTCTGACCTCCACTCATACTCCAAGTCATGACTTCCAACAAAACACAACAAAAAATAAAACCAAATAAATGTAAATTAAAAAAATGTCCTGGTGTTTTTATAATGGTGAAACATGCCTGCAATCCCAGCATCCTAGAGGTAGGGGGAGGATTTTGAGTTGGAGGGTAGCTTGGGCTGTTGTCTCAAAAAAGGGGAGAGAGATAAAAGTCAAATGTGGTGGCTTATGCCAGCTCTTGGGAGGCTGAGGCAGGAGTGTTGCCATGGGTTTGAGACCAGCTTAAGGTGCTTGATTTTACATAGGAACTGAACCTGAGGGTCCTTTGCAAGAGCGATATGTGTTCTTAACCAGTACTGTTCCCATTGATGTCTAAGCCATCTCTCCAGCTACCTAAGGGAAAAAGATCATTTCTGTTGTTGAAACAAGGTCTCACATAGCCCAGGCTGACTGAAAACTCATTGTATAGCTGAGGATCACCTTGTCTTTCTAAACCTCCTGTCTCACTCCCAAGTGCTGGGATTATAGGCCTGCATCTATACCAGTTTTATAATTTAAGTTTTGTTTAGTATTATATATGTGTTGTGGCCTCTGTGGAATTGGACATTGGATCTCCTGTAGCTAAAAGTTTGAGCCTGATGTGGATGCTGAGCACCAGACTCATTCTGGTCCTCTAAGACCAGTACGTCAGTAAGCCATCTCTCCATTTCCAGCCCCAACAGATTAATAATATGCAAGTTTATTTTCTGCACTCGGTTATTGAGATGCTGTTTGAAGCACTCTCAGAAAAGAAAAGAAATAAAAGAAATTAAAAGATTAAGTTGATTTTATTTTATTCTTCACAAATTAATTTTTATTAACTCTCTTTTAGGCCATCCATGTTTTAGTAGTTACATTATCCTATGTATACATCTGTGATTTGTATTATTTTACAGGAATAGTAGCCTATGTATTAGATTGAAGGATGCTGGTGAATAAACCCAAGATCTTGGGCATACTAAGCAAACCCTTAACCAGTAAGCGCAAGCTGCAGCCCTACCTATGCTGGACTTGAGCTTTAGGCCCTTGATCCTCCTAAGTAGCTGTGACTATAGACACAATGATGCTGTACTTTATTCATTCCTTTTCTCTTGTGGATTGAACCCAGGTCCTCACAATCATACTCTTAAACTACAGTCCCAGCCTATTTGTCTTTATTTTGAAGTTACTTGGTGTACATGTGTTTAAGGTTACTGTAAAAAGTCTCTATTAGTGTTTTTGTTTTGTTTTGTTTTTGTTTTCCAAGATAGGGTTTCTCTGTGTAACAGCCTTGGCTGTCCTGGAACTCAACTCTGTAAACAGGGTGGTCTCAAACTCAGAGATCCGCCTGTCTCTGTCTCCCGAGTGCTGGGATTAAAGGCGTGCACCACCACCGCCCAGCTAGTGTTTTTATATTTAAGCATTTCATTATTTTACTTTGGTGTGTTTGAATTCTGGGATAATAGCTGTTTAGGTGGAAGTAAGATTTCATTGTAGTCTGTCTTATGGTATGTTTGAATACACAGTTGGCAGCCTGTTCACTTTAGGCTT